TCTCTCTCTCTCTCTCTCTCTCTCTCTCCCTCCCTCCCTCCCTCCCTCTCTCCCTCCCTCCCTCCCTTCATCCTTCTATCCATTCATCCCACACTTCCTCCTATTCAAATTAACATACATTTTAAAAAGAGGGGTAGGCATGTACAAGCCTCAGACTCCAGCTTCTTGCCAATGGAGACCCTGAGAGGCAGGACTGAGGGGGTGTGTTTCTGACATGCATGTGGGAGATCTAGGCTGAGGTCCTCATCCTGGCCTTGACGTGGCCATGGCTGTTGCTAGCAGTTAGGGAGTGAACTAGGAGATGGGATATCTGTCATTCTTGCTGTTGCTCTCACTCTGCATGTCAAATACATTTTAAGCTTTTCTGATCTCAGAGTACCAAAATGTTGCATACAATTTCAGGTATGTCAGAGACCTCAACCCACAAATCCATCCACAAACATCCCAGAGCCTCTGTTTCCAAATTTAGAACATTAACTCAGAATAACTAACTCCTCAGCAACCACTGATACTTACAGGAAGAAACCCAGGCTGGACAGCGGTCAGAGCACGAAGAAGCAGAGAAGACCACATTCCAGGGCCAGGAAGACCAAAGTGGGCCTTAAAGGGAGGATTTGGGGGTAAGAAGAACATAGATCCCATGTCCCTCTTAATATAATCTGAGTCCTGAGCAGTGAAACGTGGTCCCCAGGGTCATCTGGAGACCGGCGCTTCCTGATCTACACAGTCTTTCCCTGGCTCCAGGCTCTCCTCACACCTGGCTCACCGTAATGAGAAGGATCAGTTGAACAAGGGGTTTTAAGAAGGAGTTTCTGCAGCCAGCATTGTGGCACAGTGGGTTACTGCCCTGGCCTGAAGCGCCAGCATCCATATGGGTACCAGGTCTAGTCCCGGCTACCCCGCTTCTGATCCAGCTCTCTGCTGTGGCCTAGGAAAGCAGTAGAAGGTGGACCAAGTTTAGGCCCCTGTACCTGCCTAGAAGCCCCGGAAGAAGATCCTGCCTTCAGATCAGCGAATCTCCGGCCAATTGGGAGTGAACCATAAGATGGAAGACCTCTCTCTCTCTGCCTCTCCTACCTCTGTGTAACTCTGACTTTCAAGTAATTAAATAAATCTTATATAAAAAAGAATATATGTAGAACTATAAAGTTCCTCCCTCTCTTATTAAAAAAAAAAAAAAGATGTTGCTAACCTTAATCATGACCTGCAGTTGACAAAGGGCCCAGAATGGAAGCAGAGTTGTGGTCCCATGGAGGAGTCCCTACTCTCTTCCTTTGCAGGCCACAATGGTGACAAGGAGAGCAGGAAGCCCAGCCCATCTGGAGTTGAGTCCACAGGTAGAGAAGGGGCAGGGCAGGGGCAGGGAGGCAGAGGGACCATCAGGTCACTTACCAGCATACAGCTGCGCCTTCCTCCAGGCTGAAAGGAAACACACCCTGGTGAGACCACAGCCACACCACCTGCTCAGCCCTCACCTGCCCTCTGTGCTGAAGGTCAGACTCTGCAGGAGGAGAGAGGCTGCACAGGAGGGGCCTCCTGCAGGTGCAGACAGCAGAAGATTGTGGGAAACTCCCTGACCACAGATCAGGAAGCCTGCAGGAGAGCTGAGTTGCACCCTGCCCCACTGCTGGTGACTTTTGGGTGTCAGCTCTCTGCCCTGTGCTTCAAAACCCACAAAGACTCCTGTGTTCCTGGCTCCTAGCTGCTGTTGGTCAGGACCGAAAACTATCTGTGTGAAAATAGTGTGAGAAAAAAGGAATTTACTCCATGTTGATAGTAGTTAATTAATGTATAGCATTTCCTGGCAGGGAAACTAAAGGAGGAAGAAGAAATAACATGGATATGAGGCCAACTCCAGAGTCTAAGGGGCCAAACATTCCCTGAAAAAATATTTCTTAAAAAAAGATATATTTATTAATTTGAAAGGAAGAATTACAGTGAGGGAGAGGGAGAGAAAGAGAGAATCCTCCATCCATTGGTTTTCTCCCCAAATGGCCTCAAAGCCAGGGCTGGACCAGGGCAAAGCAAAAACCAGGAGCATATTCCTGGTTTTTCAAGTGAGTACAGGAGCCCGAGTACTTAGGCCATCTCCACTGCTTTCCTAGGAACATTAAAAGGTAGTTGGAAGAAGTGGAGCAGCCAGGACATAAATCGGCCCTCATCTGGGATGCCTGAATTGCAGACAGATGTTTAACAGCTATACCACAACAACTCTAGAATACAATACTCTAGAGAAAGCATTCCTGCTCTGAGAAGCACTCAGTTCATCCCATCACATCTCCACACCTGGTGAGCAGCCATGTCTTCTGACATTCATTTTACACAAGCACCTTTGAGGAGCAGGATAGGAATGATGCCACCTGGGTGGTGTCTTAGAAGGGAGAGAGGGGGCAGAAGTCACACCCCCAAACTCAATGACCTCATTTGATTCTCTCCCTCCTGTCTTGAACTCTCACAGCTTCTGGCATATGACTTTGATACAGTCAAGAGCTAAAGCTTTGGAGGATAAACACTAACAATTCTCATATAGGGCACAGGCCTGGACTGGAGAGAAACCCAGTACGCGGGCAGACTCCATGCCCATCATTGCACACACGTCTTGAAGCACAGACTGCAAACAGTCACCCAGATGTGAGAGAGCCCAGGGAGCAGGGTTCCGCCACCACCACTGCCACTGCTGCACCCAATGAGTGGTCCACATGTCTGTGCCTGGACAGAGACAAGGAGGGGACAGCTGGGCACAGGGGGACAGGAGACCACGGGACATCTGGAGAGTCACTCACCAGCCAGGTAAGCTGTCTTCCTCTGATCTGAAAAGCAGCACAGGGAACAGGTGAGCTGAGACCCCGAGTGTCCTCCACAAAGGGACACGGTGAGTTCAGGAGGGGAGCAGAGCTTACCGAGTTCTGCCTGGAGCTCATCTGTAAGAGAGAAAAAACCTTGAACTTCTGTCCCCAAGAAAAGGAGACACAGTGAGCCTGGAGAACCCACAAGAAAGACCTCATCTGTATCCTAGAAAAGTTCTTACTCCAGACACACCCACAGCTCCAGCCTCCAGCTGTCCTGTCTGGGTCTCCACAGCCACCTGCCCTGGAGAGCAGAACCCACAGACTCATCTCCCAGCATCCTTCCTCTCAGCACCAGCTGCCCCCCCTGCCTGGCCTCCTACCTCTGGCCTTTAGTGCCTCCTCCTCTGCTCGCTGGTGCTTCTCCTTAGCCCGGCACAGCTTCTCCTGTTTCTGCCTCTCCTGCAGCTTTGCAGAGTGCTCTCTCCTGGTGAAGCAGCAAGCCCCAAAGAGCAGGAGCCCCAGCACAGTCAGGCTCCCAATAAAAGCTGCCTTCCAGGGAGAGGCCTGTGGGAAGAAGGGCTCTGGGGTCCAGGCAGAGACCCAGTCAGGGGAGCACCCAGGCGCACCCCGCACACTCAGGGATGCCGGCACCACCTCCCAAGCCCTGCCAGGAATGAGAAGCTGCACCGACCTGGGATGGACACGGCCATCACTTTCTCCTGGCCCAGGATGGGATTGAGGACAGAGCAGCTCACACTCCCTGCAGAGCTGTCTCTCACCACCAGAGCCGCCTCCACGCTGAACAGCCCTGCTGCGTCCTGGGCATGGGCCTCAGAGAACTCCAGGAACTTCTTCCCGCTGAGGTCTGTCCACTGCACCTGGGGCTTTGGGAATCAGCCTGAGGCCTCGCACACCACGCAGACCCCGTCCTGCTCCGGCCCTTCAATGTGCACTTGAGGGGCAGAGCCCAGGCCTGCAAGAGGGGAGCTGTGGAGACCTTGGAGACCACTTGGCCCAGGGCCTCAGCAGGGTCTGGGTGTGGCACAGCTACAGGGGAGTCACTGTGTTCCATTCTGGAGATTCCATGGGAGGGCGTGGCCTGAAGGAGGGGAAAGAGCCCTGGGACCCATGGGGGCACAGAGTAGGGGGCTTTCTCCTCAACTGTGCAGATGGGAAGACTGAGGCCCAGAGAAACCAGGAGCAGGAACTTGACCCCAGGACTCCATCCTGAACCTCTAATCTCCTCACCTCACTCCCTCCTGGGGCACCTGCTATGATTCCCACTGCCTCTCTCTGTAAATCCCTTCCAATACTACACCAGTCAACAACCCTGTCCCCACTCCTTCCCTCATAGCCACACCCTGAGTTATCTCTGCCAGGTTTACTTACAGACACTGAAACTCAAAATTACAGAACTTAGTACACAACGTTGAGCCGTATGTGATAAACTGATTACTAAAATGCCCCCTTTACTTTGCCTACTTTTGTATAGATCTAGCCCTCTACCACACAGTCTGAGGTTCTCTCACATTTGCACTTTGAAGTTGGTCATGTGACCCAATTTGGGCAGTGTGACTGAAGCAGAGGCTTGGAAAGCACATGTGCTCTGTGGGCGTTTGGAGGGGTGAACCAGCAGATGTAAGATCTCTGTCTCTATAACTCTCTGATGTACTGCCTTTCATTAAGTAAAAATGAATAAATAAAACTTTTTAAAAATGTTACACATGTTACGTCTGATTGCCTAAAAAACAAAAAGGAGATGAGACGTCATCTGTCTTTGCAATCCCTAAGTGGATGTCCTGTGTGTGCACCACGTCCTGGGATAGTGCTCACTCAGCAATGGAACAGCTGTGTTTCCCTACTATCTTTGCAAACAGGATTTCTGGGAGAAGACTTTGGCATTGATTTTATTTCACAACCACACCAAAGATGTCTGAGTAAATCCAATTGACACAGAAGGGGCTCCATAAACAAGATTTATAATGAGGGGCCACACTGTGGTCTAGCAGGTAAACTGCTGCCTGCATTGCTAGCATCCCATAAGGGCACCAGTTCGAGTCCCGGCTGTTCCACTTCCAATCTAGTTCCCTGCTAATGTGCCTGAGAAAGAAGAGGAGCATGGCCCAAGTGCTGCAAGCAGAGAATTAACCTACAGTACCACAGTGCCAGCCCCAACAAATAAATCTTTAAAAAAAAAGATTTATTTTGAAAAAAAGAATGAGTGAGTGAGCCATCTTTCCCTCACATATAAAATGAGCTGTTTAATTACGTGAGTTTCCAATACTCCCAAGGTATAGATGTAGAATACAGATCAAGCCACCAACCTGCCTCCTGCAGTTCTAGAATGGCTTCTGCATAGCGGCCTCCCTTCTGGAAGAAGCAGGTGCAGCTCCCATTGTCTGAAGCCCAGACTTTCTGGATGTGCACAGCAGCCTTCCTGTGGGTTAAGAAATCCCTCACCAGTGAGGTCCACCCTGCGTACTGGGGCATTTGTTCCTCGTGCTACACCCGGCTGTTCCGATAGACGAACACCACCTCTGAGAACTTGGTACAGAACCACCGCAGCTCCATGTCCTCCGTGTTCATGGCTGGGACCAGGGAGCAGGGTAGAATGGCGTCACCACCCAACTCTGCCACAATGGGATCTGAGGGTCCGATCACCAGGAACTTGTCTGTGGACACAGAATAAACTGAGAACACTGGAGAGACTCAGGCAGGGGGCAGAGACACATCTGTTGTGGTCATGGAACAGCTCCTAATGCATAGTCGACATTCTGTTAATACTTGGGGAGGAACTAAATGAACAAATGAATGCGCAGAACACCAAAAAAGAGGGGAGCCAAAAGTGAGGGGAGAGGTATTTTCAGATTACTGACACTTGACATTAAAGCAGGCCCCAAATCCTTAAACAACAGTCAAGTCTCTAACACCCACTGATGGCTGAGTGACTCATCCTAACTTCTTAATGACAACCAGTGGTTGGGGCAGCACTACCACCTTTCTAGAGCCTTGGTCTTGGGCAACCTAATCCTGTCCTGATCAAGACGGCTGGGGGCTCCTCCCACCCCAGAAGAAGACCCAGGACGAGTCAGGGACAGACTTACCTGCAGAGCCCCACGTGGGCAGCGGGGTGAGGAGAAGCAGGGAGGGGAGACTGCAGAGCAGAGAGGGGCAGCAGCTGCGCTCCATGTCCTCAGAGCTGGGGAGAGAGGTAGGGAAAGAGGAGGTCTAGGCCAGTAGACTGGAGGGGGGAGGTGGGTCCAGCCCAGAGTGCCAGCTCCTAGGTGGGAGCAGAAGGGCCAGCCTGCCCTGTCAGACCTAAGGAATCACCAAGCCAGTAGTGGGGGCCACAGGATCCTGACAGCAACAAACGTGGGGTTAGCTGCACCCAGCCTTTCTGGGAAGACTCTGGAGCCTGGGAACTCTTAAGATAGCTGGGGAGAAACAACGACTTCTATTCCCACCACAATTGAGGCCCCTCTGCCTAGAACCCAAGCCTTCCCTTTCTCAGCCCCAGGAGCCCATGGAGGAAACCACGCCTGCATCTCTCCACTCTTCACACAGCACCTGGGATCCCCACCCCACCCCCACCAGGACAGAGGCCCAGACAGGCTGCTCACCATGAAGGATGAGCTCACCGCCTGCTGCTTTCCTGCTTCTCTGTAGCTCCTGGCTGTGACCTGGGTGAGTCCTGAGAAACGTCAGAGACAGACCCATCCTGATGAGACTGTGCTGCCCGTCCCAGGGACCCAGACCTGTGGCATCTGTGGCTGTGGAATTCACCGAAATTTGACCCCCCACCCCAGCCTCTTACTCCAGGGCCCAGGTCCTGGCCCTGCGTTCAGCAGGTGCCCGGGGCAGTTCCTGCTGACAGGTGAATCCTCGCTCTCTCCACATTCAGTGATTTCTGCACTAACAGTTAAGGGCCCTGGTGAGAGGCAGCACCACAGAGAAAATGGTCCCTGATCAGAGGAAATGACCCCCACACCACCCACTGGTTGTGGGCAGGAAGAGGAGGCAGCCATTCCTCCTGGGAAGAACAGGCTCACCCCCCCCCCCCCCGGGGTGCTCCCTGCAGGCTCAGCCACTCTGGGTCACAGCTGAAGGCAGAGCCCTGGAGTTTCTGGGCCTCAGTTCCCTCATCTGCAAATGTGAGTAACAGCGTCTTTCCCCAGGATTGCAGGTAGAGGTTCCTGACTCTGTATCAGCACAGTCACTAATGCAGTCAGAGCAGGGCCTGGCCTGGAGCACATTTGAGAAATGGAAACCAAAGAAATGAACACAGGCTCAGTGCTCACTAACCTCGTCCTGGTTCTTCCTGCAGTGAGACTTCTCCAGCCGCCCCCCTCCCACTGCCCTGAGCCCACCACACTCTCAGCTCCTCCCTACTCCCTGCTCCCTGCTTCCCTCTTCCTCACTCACAGGTGTTTCACAGCCAGCTCACCTGCTCCCTTGTGCTTCCGGCTGTGACTTCCTCCAACGTCTCTAAATTCAGCAGCTCCAGAGACTTCAGAGTCACATAGACCCCAGCAATTGGAAAATCCCCTTCTCAGGTTTGCACCTGTCGTGAGCTGCCCTCAAAGCCACAACCCCTGCTTCAGGGTCCATGCTGAGGGCCCAGGAATCCTCATCCAAAGGAGGCAGTGGGCTCCCAGGAGACCAGAGGAGCAGCAGAGCTGGCACAGTGCAGCAGCCTCTGCAGAGGCCCTGGCCCTGGGGCCCACCAGGCCCTCCCAGCCAGAAGAGCCAGCCCCTCTGTCTCCCTCCACCATCTACAGTGAAAGCTTGCAGAAGCAGCCTGGGCAGGGAGTGCCTTGCCCTGTGGACCTCGCTCCCTGTTGTCAGCATGAGCACAGCCAGGAGACAGCACCACAGCTGCCCTGGGAGTGGCTGCAGCACAACCTGCTTAGAGCTCACAGTGCCTCAGCCCCTCCCCCTCAGCAACCACCTGTCCCTGCCCAGCACCAAGACTTCCCCAGGCTGAGAGATGCTAGGGAACTTTTAGGAAATCTCAGAAGCAACTGAATTTCAGTCCATGACTATTTAGTGTCAGGGTCTGAGCTACACACAAGAGATTCCTGCAGCTCCTGTCACTGCTGGGAGCAGATGCAGGAGGACAGGAGCCCTGCACCTCCTGACACCCAGGAACTTCATAGGGGAAGGCCTGGAGCTGCAAACTCTCCCTCCCATTCCCCCAGCCCTCACCCCAGCCCCAGCTGCAGACAACTCAGAGTGAGAAAGAGCTGCCAAGGGCCTTGGACTCTAAGCTGCCCCCACGATGACACCACCTGGACCCTGATCTCAGCCTGCAGCCCAGCCCTTGCCCTGCTTATCAGGGAGGGGGAGGGGGAGGGAGGAGGAGGAGAAGGAGGAGTGGAGGGTGAGGGGGAGGGGGAGGGGCAGGAGGAGGAGGAGTGCCCCAGGGCAGATCAAATTTTCTGTAAGAAACACTTCCAGGACCCAATGAGCTCCAGCAGGAGGGCAGCAAACAGTAACTCCTCCTCTCCCAGATATAAGGACCATGGCCCATCAGCTTTAAAATAGCTCCTGTTCAGGAAGCACCAAGGGGTTCTTGCTTAAAGTAAAAAATATCCTAAGCTGTTGAGTTAATTGAGTTAATATTTTTCTTCCTGTTAACAGACAGATCATACCTCTTAGTTATTTCTAGTGCTTTCAAACTAGTTTTCCATAAATATCTAAGCCATAAAACAGCAGTTAACACAAAGTATATGGGGGTGGCTGAAACCCCATACGTGAGCCATGACCACTGCCTCTAGGGTCAGAGTTAGGAAGAAACGGGAATCAGGAGCTGCAACCAGGTATCCAGCCGGCATTCTGTGGACGCAGGTGTCTCAGCCTGGGTCTTAACTGCCTCCCAAATGCTAGTCCTACCCATCCCTTTTC